TTAAATGTTAATTATAGTAATATTTTAATATTTAATAGGAATTTTATTGTGATTAGACTGACAAGATTTAAACAAATAAACAAAGATGAAATCTTTGTCCAATATTCCTAAGCGCAGTTATCATCAATGCAGAAAAATAACAAAGTAGGATCTTATAAAGACAATACTAAAAACTACAGTAAAACCTCCCTAATATAGACTATACAACGATCCCCATTAGTGAAATGCTAAAAATTATAAGAAATATGATATATTATTAATATTGTCATTCTGAGTTACTTTCCATGATTCCCAAGCATTCTGTAAGATCTCAGGACAGTAAAGAAAATTAACACATAAATCATAATAATATTCTGGGAACTTAAATATTAAACTTTGGAGAAATAAACTACTCAATTCTGTTCAGTGAAAACAGTTTCACTTCCATCATAACATGTAATCACTTTAGTAATATTCATTCAAGAAATAAATTTTGTTTATAAATATAGTTTTTAAAATACAGCCTCCTGAAAGAAGGTTGTTTCTTTACATTTTTTGGGTAAATCTGTTCATAAAAAGCAACTAACACAATATTGATTTTGTCTTCTGCGTTGTGATGCTATACAGACTTGTAGGTAGATACCAACACTTCAGAGGAATATACTGCATCCATTTGCAGAAATGAAGATGGAGACAGCATGTTCCTCCTCCACTGACATCCTTAACACCATGAATCTCAAATCTCAACTAATAAAACACTCTTCAGTCTCACCTCACATATGATGTAAGTGACAGTGTCACCTTGTTTCAATTTCCGTCCACCATGCTGATTAAGTCTTAATGCCACCTGTACATGGGGCAAACTCTTCTTGTCTGCATACTCCTCTGGATTCTTGGTGAGCTGCTTTGTGATTGTAAGCAATGTCAGAGGCACTTGGCCAGCTTCCAAGTCCATTCTCAGTCTCTCCAGATGCCCATGGATTTGTGAGAGTCGCTCATCAGCTTCTTGATCTGACAGGATCTGCTGTAGAATGTACCTGACAAGAAGATGAATAGTGACATACACCAAACTGAGCTATTGCTTAGACTGTTAACATTATTTAGACAACTAGAAACTGACAGCTAAGACACTTGAACAAGCATGATTAAACATGATACACTGTGTTCACTGCAGGTTTAGAACTGGCATTAGCAACATAAGTATGTATGTTTCACTAACACAACTTCCCCCAATGGATAGTGATTGCTTGTTCTAAGAGATTATCAGTAACACATGCGCATTGGACAGACTGACTGACAAACAGCTACAAAGATGGAGCAAATATGACAGAAATGAAAGAAACACATGGTGTGATGTAACTTACTTGCCAGCTTCAGCAGACAGCTGTGACCAGTCTCGACGTACAACATCCAGGCCCTTCAGTTCTTGCTGTGTGATGAGCTCTCCACTAGGAAGCCTAGATATTGTAACAGCCGCATACTTTTTCTTCTTCAGTAGCAACATGTACTTGAAGACACCATCAATGTCAAGTTCCACTTGCCGATATAGCTTGTTCACTTCTGCCTTGATCTGCAAGAAAAATGGAAAGGAAAGCATGAAAATTAATGCCACGCCACTGGAAGTCACTTCATATTCAAACATTGTGCATTACGTGTCAAATGGAAAATAACACTATACGGAACGTGTTTCACACTTATGAGGATAAACATTACATTACATCCTTTATGCCAATTTAAATCTCAAAATTAGGATAGGCAATTGTGCAGGTAATTCTGAAAGCAGCTTTGTGACTCATGCACCTTCTGAGTGCACTATCAGTTATCATAACATGCAATTTCTTATAGCATTTAGTATTAATGATTAAATAATTGTTCAGTTTCTGTATAACATATAGTGAAAAAGGATAAGACAACTCATAACTCACATGGCAAAACAAATACATAAAAATGCAGATAATCATCCTGGTTCACATATTTGAACATCAAACTGACATTAATGACCATAGGAAGTTAAAAAGTATGAGTTTTGTGTAGCCTCCAATCCCATAATTACACCAAATGTTATTACATCCATTCAGCACACAGACTTAGACTTCATGGGCAACAGTGCCACCTTTGGCAATGATGCCATCACAGTGGATTGTCATCCGACCAAACAAGTTTGAGTATTTGTCATGTTAGTAGTACTAACTGTGGGAAATTAAAATGTACAAGTTTGATGAAGTCTCCAATGGCTCAACATGTACGCCAAATTTCACAAAATTTCTAATGGCAGAACAAATAGTTTATATGACCACTGACAGATGACAGCACACTCTCTGGTGAAACATACAAAAACAGACAAGCAGAATGTACCCACAAGGTGGCCTTTGCTCATGATGAAGCATAAAGAACACCAAACAAACAGGATGGAAGAATGAAAATGGGTTCAAGGCCTGGCCTTTATAAACAAGAATCACGTCTTATTTGGCTTGTCTGTTTCTTACTTTGTGGCCTATCCTGATGACCTGGTCATAATCCAAACAGTTTGTGTTGATCATGATAGAGTCTGTATCTCCATAAATAACCTGGAAGTTCATTTTCTCCATAAGATCCTTGGTGTTCATCAAAATCTCCCGGCCTTTAGCTAATAAAAGGAGGAGAAAAAAATAAAAAATTAGTCTGAAAACTATAACACCAACTAAAAATTCAGAAAACTATCCCTGCAGTCAACCCATTTTTCCACACAGGCACGTTTCTGCAACCACATATTTGTAATTCAATTTGCAGTATTTACATTACAATGAGATTTTCTTGCTTCTGCCTCAAAGGTTCTGTTAATACTATATTCTCAGAAACATCTACAAATTGTTACACAGACTACAAGAACAAATGTTTAAATATGTGTAATATAAACATTTCAGTTGCAAAAACCCGAAGAGTTCGTCAGAAGTACCTGACTGCAGATTTGAATGTATTAAACAATAGTTACAGAATACTACTCATGGAAAATAAAGGAATCATGTTAAAGCAATCACAAATATTTCTGAAGATCAAATGTTGCCAATACCTCTAGAAAGCAACTACACCACTGCAGAAAGTTGAACAGTTACATTCAAAGCTTTTCTCATATTCTATATCTAACATGTAGGCAACATTCTACAAACCTGTGACCAGCGCTGCAAGTGGCTTAGCATAGAACCGAGAGTGTGAAAACCCCAGACAGCCATACATGCTGTTGGCTGTTAACTTCAATGCCATCTGACGAATGTTATACTGAAACAGGAATAGAGTACAAGAGCTGTGGCTTCCCCAGCACTCACTAAACCTTACAAGAAGAGTTCGTCAGAAGTACCTGACTGCAGATTTGAATGTATTAAACAATAGTTACAGAATACTACTCATGGAAAATAAAGGAATCATGTTAAAGCAATCACAAATATTTCTGAAGATCAAATGTTGCCAATACCTCTAGAAAGCAACTACACCACTGCAGAAAGTTGAACAGTTACATTCAAAGCTTTTCTCATATTCTACATCTAACACGTAGGCAACATTCTACAAACCCGTGACCAGCGCTGCAAGTGGCTTAGCGTAGAACCGAGCGTGTGAAAACCCCTGGCCGTTAACTTCAATGCCATCTGACGAATGTTACACTGAAACAGGACTAGAGTACAAGATCTGTGGCTTCTTCCCCAGCACTCACTAAACCTTACAATTTACGTGTTCAACATTCTTTGATTAAATCAAGTAGGATGAGATGGTCTCGACATGTGTCGGGCAAGAATAAGATAATAAAAACATAAAAAATGTTAGCTGTAAAACTCAAGTATAGGTGAGAACTAGGCAGGTATAGGAGAAAAATATTAAAATCAATATTAAAGAGACGAGGTGTGAAGGTGTAGTGTGGCTCAGAACAGGATCGATCTACATCTGACATTGCTGTGAACATAGAAAAACAAAATGTCTTCATTGGTTGGAAACTGCTACTGAACTACTCAAGGAAGAACATAACACTGTTGAGGCAGTTCACTTAATTAGCTAAAACGACGTAGCATTTGAGGTTTTCACAGATTTCGTTCTGAAGACGGCTGTCCTCTGGGTAAAAAAAGTCTGGAAGAAGTTTACCGACGTTTCAGAGGCAGCAAGGATCTATCAAGTATTAGTGAACTTCTACTATACTACACGGCGCAACAACCCAGAAGACAGTCAATCTCTAACTAAAATGATCTCGATGTCTACAGATAAATTATTACCGACACATCTGATCATCAGTATAAATAATGCACTGCATATGTTCATAAATTATATCGCTGATAAAGCTCATCATCAGCATAAATATTACTGTAAATGCATAAATTATTTTTCAATTAACTATGCAAAATATGAACTATTTCATCAACTGTCTCAGGTAATAATCCTTAGGGTGGCGTTTATGTTATGTTAGGTTTTGTACAATAACTATTTTATACAATAAAGTAGAAGTTATACTGGAATAATAAACCAAAATGAAATTTGACCAGTAATTCCTGTTCTTGATGCCCCAAAGAACATGTTGAAGCTGGTTGTATTACGAGCATATTAGTAAGGTTTTTTCTGTTTTACATTAGAGAGAAATTTTTTTGCTGATGCTCCATCTATGATGACAGAAAAGTAAAATTATTAACACTGAGTAACTGTTAATTCTCACCTGCATTTTCACATCTGGGGTAAGGTCAGGATTCTTCATCAACTTCTTGACCTCACACCGACTTTCAACTAACTTACGGATTTCTGTTGGAAGGATCCCAGCTTCCAGCCCAGGACTTGGCAGCTCTACTTGTATTTCTTCCTGTAACATTATCCAATAACTATATAAGTCCATTCAGAGAACAGTTAGCTTTACATGTTCAACTTTGACTTTATATTATAAATAATATACACAATACATATAATGTGCACTGCATAGATGCAAAATTGTTTCTTTCTATGGTTTCATATATGGGAAGCTTATGATAAAGTTAAAGGCACAAAATGTATGACTGAAGATTAAGAGATTAATATGTGAAGATGGCTGTCTTCTAGGTTGTTGAACTATGTTGTCTGGAAAACTTCTACCAGACTACATAGTGCAACAACCCAGAAGACAGCCATCTTCAGACTCACGGCCATGAAAACCTCAAATCCTACTGGATTAGTATGTGTTGCTTAAAAACTTTTCTTCCCTATTTCAAAGTTTAAAATGTAAAAATCGTAACAAAAATAATATCAATTATCTTGAATACTAAACAATAAAATTTCTTTTAGCAGGTAGTGTATAAAATGTATTCTTAAAAACTGAAAGATTTCTCTGTTAATTTGCAAAATAAGAAGTCTAGTTTAAAAACATTTTCTAAGACTTTTTTTATCAGTCTGAATTTTAAACAAAATGACTTGGCAAACTTTTGGTGCAGTTTCAGGTAATGGCTTGGCACTAAGAGGGTTAAATGATTGTGGGTCTGGAGATTGGATATTCATCATGCTGATGGTGAAGAAACTGCTGGTAAGAGCTCAAAAGGTAGCAACTTTACTATTAGACATTAATATATTCATTAACAACGAAATGATGTAATATTTACTTTCAAGGTAATATGACCGAGAGGCCCACTAAGCCTAATACTGTGAAGGATGATGGTGAAAAAAGAAACATCAACACATATAACTGTACCTCATTTTCATTACTGGCTGGGGTCACACCAAGGTTCACTGTGGTAAAACAGATGTTATATTCTTGTATAATGCTGGGGTACAGCGAATTGAAATCCATAAGCAGGATGAGCTTGTCATAGAACCCTATCTGAGGCTCCAGAACAAGACCTCCCATGTATGCAGGCTTCCTCTTCCCAGATCTGCCTTTCTTCTGGTGCCGCCCATTCAATGTATCATCCATGTCAAACTCATCCATGTTCTGAACAGATTTCTTTCCATATTGCTTGTCAGGTACAATGAAGTTCTTCTCTGTGAATGCATGCAGCAGTAAGAATTCATTCCGTTCTGAGCGTCCACCCATCAGTGTCCTTGACATAACATTGCCTGTAAAAGATACACAACTAAAAAGATGGCAAGGCAGATTGTGATGACACAACAGGCAAAAACTGCCTAATCCATTGAGTGGAAAAGATACATAACTGTTCCATAACAGAAAACAAATCCTCCAGATGCAAATTGTAAATAAATTTTCACAAACTAATTTTGTGGCTATGACTATTCTCAAGTTGGGTAATCTTTGGTTAGGCATACAAGGAAGGTGATACTGTAACACACACAACTGCTACAAAGGGAGAAAGATAAAACTTCATTCCTTTAGTCTCATGAATTTTCTGCATACACTTATAGACCATAAATGATGTGGAACCCACCTGCTATGTTTGTGATCTGCAAAGCAAGAGGCAACACATTCAGCTCGCACAGGAGTCGAACAATATAAGCAGTATCCTGCATGGTGCACGAGATGATTTGTAGAAGTGACTGAGATGAACCATAAAATCGTTTCACTTCATCAGTTGTCACATCGACTCTTTCATCTTCTTTCACATGCAGAACCTAGCGTGAAATATGAACATTTCACGTTATGAAGTTCTCCATGAGAAACGTAAACACTCCGAATGCCATGAAAATGACAAGTACTTAGTAAAAATGGAGCACCACAGGAAAAGAGAACAATACATAAAAGTTAACATGAAAAACACTTTGTACTGTGAATTTTAACAAGATAGTTTTACAAGATTCTTCCACTGAACCATATCCTAAAGAACACGTACAACTGGGCAATGTGAATTGCACAACTTAAGTTACGTTAAGAACAATGAAATTCCTTTATAATGTTCAAAAAGATAGAATGTATTCTTGTATAGTGTTCATTTTCATGATCCCAAACACACAAAGGATGTAATTGATTTTCCATATGCAATGTTTTCAACTTATAATCTTCAAAATTATCTCAAGGGAAAAAGTACAAAGTAGTTTATTACATCAATAATTAAAACAAACATTGTTCAAAATAAGCCTTGTAAAGTGTGCATTTTATGTTGATTCTATACAGGCCAAAATAAGAGATAACACTTCCATCATCACTATGGAAGCAATCGCTCACCCCATTAAATGAGAAAATTGGGATCAAATCTGCCTGGATGATTGGATGCCTAAAAAATACCCATGTATGCGTTATTTCATACAGCCTTGGGTTCCAACAATGGAACCTCCAGTCCCACTGTTGTGAAAAACTTACAAATGTGGATGGATCGATAAGGAGTACTTTTCTTGTGCTAGAGTCTGAAAAGCATTTGGTAAATATAATTTAACTTTCTCTCTTTCACAGACAATTCAAAACAAAGCATTTCCTACATCAACCTTGTGAAAACAGTTCTAAATATGTATACTTACATTCTGACAAAGTGCTCCCAGATCATAGCTTCGAGACTTTATCAGCTCCTTAGCTCCCAGATCGTAGCTTCGAGACTTTATCAGCTCCTTAGCAGATACTTTCACATCACAAACTAGACGCCCACACATCACATTCTTCTCAAAATGAAATGTGCGTCCCTGTAACATGAAAATAATGATTAATGTCCCAAATGATGACTTCTTTGCCACAGCACAATCCTCTTATAAATGAGTGACTTAGGTTAGGAATAAACAAAATATAGTACCTTTCCACTCTGTATATTAGCTCTGCGCAGTCTACCAAGTTTGGACCACTGTGGGATCTTGTTAATATTCATGCGATGCACAAGGAGTTCCAACCCATAGTCATACAAATCATGGCCCACATTCAGGTCAGGGTCAAACTTGTGTAGTTTTGCCAGAAAGAACCCCAAGAGTGCGCGTTCAGTGTCCACCTTCTCTAACTTCGTTGATGCAGCAGTGGAGTCAAATGGCCGAGCTACGTCCGATGGTCGAGTACCAGAGCATAATATAAATCAGGTCAGGGTCAAACTTGTATAGTTTTGCCAGAAAGAACCCCAACAGTGCGCGTTCAGTGTCCACCTTCTCTAACTTTGTTGATGAGTAATGTGTTGATGCAGCAGTGAAGTCAAATGGCCAAGCTATGTCTGATGGTCGAGTGATGGCTGCAAGTACCAGAGCATAATATAAATGTGCCTTCACTGTTTACAATCATATGAGTCAATTTCTGCAATGATTTTTAATCTTTAAAAGCAGGGGTGAAAAAACTATGGCCTCTAGAAACATTCAAATGGCCCACCAACATTTCGCAGATATTGTTTAATAACAATCATTGCATTCCTATACACATTAAAGAGAAAAGTATTGTAACTGCAAGAAAATCAAGATGTTTACAAAAATATACATTTTGGGATCCCCATTACTTATTATTGTAATTTATTATATCTACAATTAAACACAAAGTCAAGTGAGACTCACTGCAAAATAAGTATAATTTGGAGACCACAAATCAGAGTTCAGAATATAAAGTCCATATTAATTATTAACACAGTAATTTTTATGTATCTT